GTGAGAAAACTTAGAAAACATGCACAACTTCAAGAAAGATTCATCAACTTGAGAAAACCCCCCTTATAATTCAAAATCCTCTCAACTAAACTTAAACCCTCTATGCAACTCATCATATATCATCTACAAATCAACATGCAACTTGAAATTTAAAGAAAAGGAGGTAGGCAATGATAAAACATCAATTGGATCGTCAAATCTTTCTTCCTTCACTAAGAACACAAAAAAACAATTTCAACATGCAATCTATTCCAAAATCAACCAATGCAACTATAAATACAGTAAAAACAAGCATCATATGCGAGTTTTGATTTTGGTCCTTATATTTTTTTTTATCCTTCTAAAATTTGTACATATTACCTTTTTTATCATAATAAAATGAGCAAAAATATGTTAATCTCTTTAAATATTTTTCTTTGATTTTTATCTCTTTTTCTTAAGTCAGTATTTTTTTTGTTCTTAATAATTATTTTAAAGTATGTAAATAACATTTGTTTTAAAAGTTGATAAATTTTTTTGGAAGTAACGTACGCAGACAAAATATCACAAATAGTTGTAAATATCACCTAATTTTTCAATAATTAAATAAATAATTAAAGAAGATCATATAACAGTAAAGTCTAAAAACATAGTTTTAAATTTTAGAAAAAAAGTTATAAATTCTAAAATCAAATTTGATTAATTTTATATCACTAAATACACATATAACCTTAAATAAAATAATGTTACTGTAGGTATTGATTTAATGTTAGTTACGGTGAAAAAGAGAATGATACTATGATATATATTATTATATCAACCATTAATTTTCTAATTAATAATAATTATATTTTATTATTCCATCAATTTTTATACCAGAGTCTTTTAGTTTTGTGTACATTAAACAAGGAAATTAATATTTTTTGCGTTCCAAAATGAATTCAGTTCAAGATTTGTATACATAGATTAAAGAAAAAAAATGTATCACTTTTTATATAATTTGAACTAAAAGAATCCACCTTTTCATAAATACATTATTTTGAATTGTGCTGATTGAATAATTTATAAAAGATAAATTAGAAGAAAAAAAATGTACTACTTCCATCCCTATGTATAAGATTTTTTTTTTCACTTTTTTTTTCTTGTTTCTTTTTATAAGGTTAACTTCTAATTGTAAGTTACATTAATTATATTTGTATTTTATAAAAAAATCTTATTTAATTAACAATCTCTTGTTAAAAATGGAGAAAATGTCTTTCTTCCACACATTAATCAATTAGGTGAGAAATGATTAAATGGAAATAAAATAATTTTAAAAAAGTAGTTTAAATTATTGATAATTTTTTTGGTGCATAATTATTAATAAATTTAATGTTCTTAACTAAATTAACTAATTATTTTTTTAAAAAATATAATTAATTAAAAGAGTTTTGTAATTAGGGACAAAAATAATAATTAATACTCTCTTTGGACCTATATATAAGCAAAAATAACTAATTTTATACAAATTAAGAAAGATATTATATTTAAATATATTTAATTTTTAAGATAACCTTTATTATATTTATTATAAATAATGATTTCATTTGTTGCATTATGAGTATTATTTGATTAAAAATATTAAATAAAATTGATTTAATTAAAATTTGTTTATATTTAAATTTTAAAAAATTAAGTACTTTTTTCTACACATAAATCTAAATAGAGTATTGCATTAAAAAGTAAATCATAATTCATTTGGAGATATTTTTCAAGTACTAAAATTGTACTGTCGGAGAATAAAGAAAGTATATTATGCTTTTAATGAAGTTATTAGTTTTTTTCCAATAATACCCTCATCAATTTATCCACCACACCAATTTTATGCTCATTTCTTCATTCTACTGATTTCCCTAGTTCTTTATTAAGTGTATATTAACTCACAAGGTTCACGATGAAAAAAATAAATAAATCCACATTCAATATGTTACTTGTCAATACATAAAGAAAAAGTTTAGAATAATGTGCCATTAGATTGCCAATAATAACGAAATAATATCTTTATATTTAAATTTTTTAAAATATTTATTATCCAAATTCATGAAAATGTGTATTATAATTAGTGGAAACAAGAGTATAATCTACAGAAATAATAACTGATTAATATAACTTTAAACTTTAAAAATAGCACATACAAACCTACACTTAAATGGAGGACTTTTCAAGATAATTTTTTTTTAGAAGAGTAGGGGAGTATTTCAAATATATTTCCCAATTCCCAGCCCAATCCCTATTTTTAAAACTATTCATCTATAACAATATATATAAAAAAGGAAATGCAAAGTTTTAATATAGAAATAAATTAATTTTAATTGATATTAATAAAATTAAATGATATTAATTATTTTTTAATCAGCGCATAAGTTAGTTTATTTTTATTTTTGTACTTAATATTGAGTTCAAAAGGAGCACGTCTTTAAGAAATAAGATTAATTTTTTTAAGTATAGCAATATACAATAGTTTTCCTTTAAACAAAAAGAAAAAATAAATATTAAAATAAACATTTAATTTTATCCGAAAACCTAATATACCATAATATTAATATTCCCTTTTAATTATATTACTCTTTATAAATTTAAAAATATTATAAAAATAACCTTTTTATGTTGTCATCTTAATAGTTTACTATAACAAATTTAGAAAGAGTTAAATTAAAAGAAAATAAATTATGCATCATTAGGAATTTCTTATTTATAAACTATTAAATAAAAAATGACACTCTCATGACTATTAAATAAATAATTAACAGCATGTTGAAATCTTTAAAAATACTGTGTTTTTAGTAAGTAGATAAAACTTAATAATATATTAATGATATAAAATAATTCTATAATATTATCTATAACAACTTACTATATATCTAGGGATGGCAATGGGGCCCCATGGGGGCATGTAATAGTAAATACGTCCCCACCTTGCTAGATGAAAATTATCCCTATACCCACTCCATATTCGCAGGGGTATTCATTGAGCGAGTATCCATGAATTTATTGAATACCCACAGATATCATGGATATTTATAAATTTTTTAAGAAATTAAAAAAATTATATTACAAATAATTTTAAGTCTATATTTAATGTTATTGAAATATTAAAACACAATGTTTAGATAAATAATAATAATAATTCTTCGTAATATCATGTCCTTCTAAATAACATTCACCTATATATCCATATTTATATTGGTCCTCCAAGCATTAACATCTTTTCTCTCTTGCTCCTGAGTTTTAATAATAGACTCAAAATTATGATTTTCATTAACCGGTAATGTTGAAGATGAATGTTTGTCCACCACTCTAATTAAAAATTCATCACAATGACATTCTTTGTGAATAAAGTTATGTAGCGCTAGACATGCTAAAAATTATTCTAAACATTTCAAATTTTTTATAATTTATGATTTAAAATATTTTATTTATAAATTTACAAATGATTAAAAAAAATAGTGGGACAACTACCCTACTCTCTTATATATGTGTCCCTTCATTTTATATTGGAACTAAAGTAGAAATTTACAAACATCAACTAGGAGAAAAAAAAAAATCTGAAATTTATTACAAGTACAAAATAATTTTTAAATTTTTTCAATTGCTTTCAATTATTCACTCGTGAAAAAATATTCTTAGTATTGAATTCTAAGATACTGCAATGTCTTATGTTAATTTTATTTTTTAAAATATAAAAAATCCTAATTTCATAATATAAAAATTAAAAAATGAAATTCATAGTAAAAAAAGAAATAAAATAATTGTTGAGCCATAAAAGAAAAAGTATAACAATAACAAATTCAAGAGAGGAAGAAAGATCACAGTTTTTGTGCTTAAAGGGTTTTTCCCCCAAGATCCATTCTTATCTCATTCTACTCACAGAAACCCTAACTCAAATTCATCTTATATATATTTATATATTATGTTCTAATAAATCTAAATTGATTATAAGGTCTTAAAGATCTACAGTTGATTATATAGATCATGATATCAATTTTAGCTTCCACCTTTCCCTTTTCTTACGTGTTATAAAAAAATACTACAGTTGAAATTTCAAGCATTTTTTGTGTTATATAACTAAAGAACAATCTCAACTAAATAGAGCAAATTAGAACAAGTTCATTAAAAAGAATAGAGAGATAAATAGAGCAAGTCAATGATACCAAATAGGTGAATGAAATGGTAACAGTAGTACAATATTATATATGAGCAGTAGTGCAATATTATTAACGAGAGAAAAAAATGGAGAAGACATGAGCATATAAAAAAAAAAGAGATGAAAAACTTACTTAGAAATTCTTGAAGCACTTGGAAAGTCACTTCAAACAATCTTCCAAAATCTGATGGGTTTGGATGAGATTGTTTTATGAATTTGGTATATATAGAATCACTAAAAAGTCATTCAAAATCTCTCTAATACACCTATACTTTAAAATCCCTATATTTTCAAATACTAATGAATTATTTTTAAGTTATAAAAAGTCTCAAATAAATACTAATTAATTTTAATAGACTCTTTAAAAAATCTTGAAAATCTAGATTGAATATTACTGGATTATTTTTAAGTGATATAAAATCCTGATCGAATGCTAACAAACTTTTTTACTCAATTTTTTTTTTTAAATCTTATGAAATCCTAACCAATACACCCTTTAACTTTGTTACTAATCATATAACTGATATAATAGTATAATTTCTGACATCAAACATATTTATTAAACTCTTAAAATTATTCAGCAAGTCACCACATGACTTGATTTTTTCAAGTAAAATCTTAAATTTAAATATTAGAAATGAAAAAAAATATAATCAAGAAAAATAAAATACTACAATAATTAATTAATAAATATTTCGTATGAATAATATTAAAAAAATAATAATTAACATTAAAATAGGATCGAATATATTAGTACAAGGGATGTGGCAAAAAAAAGTAATTATAAAATAGTAGGAGGGTAAAGAAAAACAGATGATTCGAAATGCATAAAAAAATGAAAAAAGTTGATAATTAGGTGAAGGAGGCAAAGCATTACTTATACGAGTGTTTCACGGTACATAGTGCGGCAACAGCAGAAGCAACTCTCATCTCATTACTCATTACTCACTTCTCACCTAACCTTCTCTTCCTCCGCCCGCCATGACCTTCCACAAGATCACCGTCGCCAACCCCATCGTCGAGATGGACGGTCCGTTTCTTCCCTCTCCGATCTGATCTCTTCTCTTTCCATTTCTTCACTTTCTTATTACTTTTTTTCACATTTCATCTCTTTCTTATCATTTCTCTAATTTTTATCTTTCTGTTTGTTGTGTCTTGTCTCTTGATTTCCTCCAATCAGATATTTTTCTCATCATATTATTATTTGGTGGACCACTCTCTTTCCTTCATTATTCCAAACGTTACGCCGTAATAGATTTTTTTTTTCTTCCACTCATTTATTTCTATTTTCCTTCGTGTGCGTTTGTTGAGGTCTCAGTCTCGGGACTTCGAATTATTTTTAGTTGTTATTATTGCATGCACTTGATCTGTTTTCTTCTTGTGAAAAATAGTGCGTGGTGGAGTTTTGTTCGATTTTTTCTTTTTGAAAACGTTGACATGAATTTTTTGATGAAAGAAACAAAATCAAATTATGGAAAATAAAGAGTAGGCTTTATATTGTGCTGTTCCCAGGAAACGCATTATCATCGGATTCACCGAAGTAGTGAACATTTGTGGGAAATGATTTTTGGAAAAGTAGATGCGATGACAGCTGTAGCTTGTTTGTATCGGAGTAGTGATATTCATCCACTCAAAATTGGGAGTGGAAATAACAGACAGAGAGAAAGGAGAGAGGGTAGAGAGAGAAAGTAATAGAACCTGTGTGATTGATGTGATAGAAAAAGAAGAGAGATTGGACAAAAAGGGTAGAAGTGAGATCGAAGAGAGAAGAAAGTAGGGGTATGATGAGGATCTATTTTCCTTAATTTTCGTCTTTGAAAAATACTCATCGTACATACATTTTCTCTTCTATCTCACTTGTAACCCAATTTCCGTGTATCTCTTCATATCGCATCCCATTATTTATTGCATCTATTACTTTCTCTCTTTACCTTTTCTCTGCTCTCCTTATCTCTTGATTCTATCCCAATTCACCTCAAGATGGGTGGACGAATTCATTACTGCTGGTGTTTTGTGTATGAGCTGGATTTATGAGTTTTTGTGGTTTGTACTCAAATAATTTTAAGGGTTCCTTAATGTATAATTCCTACTTAAAACGTGTTATTTCTTAAAAAAAAATGTTGAGTTGTTAGAATAGTAAATAAAAATTAAAATAGGAAGATGTAATTTTTCAAACAACAAAGGTGTAAGTGTAGCTAGTAATAATCTCTAACACGAGGGGGTGTTCGCGTAGTATTTCATTTAAAATACCCAAATTATGGAATGCTAAAATATACTGAACTTTTTTCGCCTCTAATAAAAAAGTAGAAATTTCAATTTGCGTCATTAATTTCCTTGTTGATTGTGTTTGGAGTTTAATGGATATACGCTTTATACTGTCAGTGCATATGCATTTTTCTCTTGTGTTTATCTGTTGGGACAGTCTTTATCTTGCTTCTTACATTGTTTGTTTGTGGATACTGCTTTGCAGGAGATGAAATGACTCGGGTTATCTGGAAGTCAATCAAGGACAAGGTGATTTATCATCATGTTGCTGTTAATGAGATTATCACATTTTTATTTTCGTCTCTAAAGTGCTTATAATATTAATATTTTTCTTTCATTCTCCTATGGGATAGCTAATTTTGCCCTTCTTGGAGTTGGACATCAAGTATTTTGACCTAGGCCTTCCTTACCGTGATGAGACCGATGATAAAGTTACAGTTGAAAGTGCTGAGGCAACTCTCAAGTATGTTATTTGTATACTTCCCTCTAACACTCGCCTCCCCTCAGAGGGAAATGGTTAAAGTCCTCATAATTTATGTTTTTATAATTATTTATATATAAATAATATTCAAGTATATATATGGGTTTGTGAAGCATACAAAATTTGTGTATTTTGATTATAAACAAGTGATATATAGTACAACTATTTTAAATTTAAATATTTTGTCTATTGTCATATAAATTTGAATTTAGAGGGGTTAAATGTTTTTTTATTCGTGTGCTTTTGTATAGCTGTTTTCTTTGTTATCTGATGGTCGTACTGCAATGTAGGTACAATGTTGCAATCAAGTGTGCAACTATCACTCCAGGTATGGTATACTTTTTTAGTTTTTACCCTAATTTGGTCTTTGTGTGCCTAGATATACATTTGATAAATAAGAAATACGAGACATCCTATGTTTTGCTCGGGCAAGAATACTGAATTAAATTGCTGCATGATAATGTTCCACTTGATAGTAGATGTTGGAGCTTATACTAGTGTTATAATTTGGCAGATGAAGCTCGTGTGAAGGAGTTTGGCTTGAAGAGTATGTGGAAGAGTCCAAATGGGACAATTAGGAACATTTTGAATGGTAACTCAACTTACTTCCGTTGATTGTTGTTTGTTAAATGTTAAATACAAGATAATTTATATATTCTCCTCATTCGTTTTTTATTGTTTGTCTGTTTTCAAATTTTTCAGGGACTGTCTTCAGAGAACCAATTCTCTGCAAAAACATTCCCCGCCTTGTTCCTGGTACTAATATTGAAAATTTCTTTTAAATTACTTCTTGATGAATGGGGGTGTATAAACATTTAAACATTACCAGGTTGGACAAAGCCAATATGTATTGGAAGACATGCATTTGGTGACCAATATCGGGCTACTGACACTGTAATTAAAGGAGCTGGAAAGCTGAAGCTGGTGTTTGGTATACCTCTTTCTTGATTTAAACATTGTAATTAAGTTATCTTGTACTCAACTATGTTGTTCCATCTTAGAGATATAGTTTTCAATTTCATTGTTATATTTTTTGATCACTAAAGATTATTTTTATGAATTCTTCTATTCTTGTAGTTCCAGAAGGCCAAGGTGAGAAGACCGAATTAGAGGTTTTTAACTTTACCGGTGAAGGAGGTGTTTCATTGGCTATGTACAATACTGATGAGGTTGATTATGCAGTTTCTTATATCACTTTGATTGGATATATTATAATGGTTTCTGGTAGTTATTGAACTTTTATCTATTATTTGGCATGTGATTCAGTCGATTCGATCTTTTGCCGATGCTTCTATGGCAACTGCTTATGAGAAGAAGTGGCCACTTTATCTTAGCACCAAAAATACTATACTTAAGAAATATGATGGAAGGTATACAATTCATTATTAGCTTATTAGTAATTTTCCCAAACTTTTACCGTATTGATCCCCTGTTTAATCATATTCATTTATTGGCTGTAGATTCAAGGACATATTTCAAGAAGTTTACGAGGCAAGCTGGAAATCTAAGTATGAGGCTGCTGGTATATGGTGAGTGGATGATCACTCGTTTTGAGGGGGAAAATGTTCACTTTATACTATTGTTTACATTTATCTTATGAATTTGGAAGGTATGAGCATCGGCTCATTGATGATATGGTGGCGTATGCACTTAAGAGTGAAGGAGGTTATGTATGGGCATGCAAAAACTATGATGGAGATGTCCAGAGTGATTTCTTAGCTCAAGGTTTGTCTCATACATGGGTTTTTAATCACCTTCTTTTTGCAACTTGATATGCATAGGTTTATTTTCCTCTTTAACTAATATCTATTCACCCTGTTTTCAGGTTTTGGATCATTAGGCTTGATGACATCTGTATTGGTAGGTTTTATTCCAATTGCTTACACATTCTTAAATTTATTTGGGACCTTTTTTGAATGATTTAATGAATTGAACCATATTTTTTTTATTTATTCGTTAAATCAAGTTTAATAAATTCCTTTGCAATATGAGTTCTTTTGATACTTACTGCATAATGGGATGGATTCAGGTTTGCCCTGATGGAAAGACTATTGAAGCAGAAGCAGCCCATGGCACAGTTACCCGTCATTTTAGGGTACATCAGAAGGGAGGTGAAACCAGCACAAATAGCATAGCATCCATCTTTGCCTGGACAAGAGGGCTAGCCCACAGGTATATTACTATGTAATTTGCATAGTTGAGTGCTATTACTCGTTGTATTAGAAACTCTTGGCTTATAATATTATGTGATAACGTGTAATTTATGTTTCCATGCTGGCAGGGCAAAACTGGATGACAATGCTAAACTCTTGGAGTTCACTGAAAAGCTAGAGGCAGCTTGCATTGAAGCAGTAGAGTCTGGGAAGATGACCAAGGATTTGGCACTTATTCTTCATGGATCCAAGTACGTTAATCGTCGTTGTTGCATTGTTAGCCAAATATATTTATTTGCTTTTGTACTTGACGTGATTAATAAACTCACTTATATAATTCTTGCAAGTAGGCTTTCAAGGGAGCACTATTTGAACACAGAGGAATTCATCGATGCCGTGGCAGCCGGGCTTAGAGCGAAGCTTTCTGCATAGGCTTGATTTATAAGGTACACTTCCTCTTGGTTCCCTTTATTTGTTCTTTCGTCATGGGACACATAATCTTGTCTTTTTTCCAAAAGCTATTATTGTATTTTAGTTTCTCAGAAAAGTACTTCAACAATTTCGAAATTCGTTTGTTTTGTTTGTTTTTCTAACTTACATGATTATCATAGCTTTTAAAATATATCTTCTTATCACAAGTTATATTTTTCTTGCTAAAAATTGTCAACACGCAAGTGCTCATGTAATTAATTGCTAAAGGATTTTGGGTTTTAATTAATTGGTTTATTTTTTGGCATTTTCAGAAAGGCGGAAAAAGACAAGACCAACAAGTGGCATATGTATGCTCTATTCAGAGGAAATAAGAAAGTGAAAAGAAGCATTAAACGGCTCCTTTTCCTTCATTTGTTTGTTGGTTGGGAAAGCAAGGGTTGTTTCATCTCCATATTGTTTGAACCGATTTGTCCTTTGTAATTTGAACCGATTTCTTCCAACTTTTTAGTTATAATGGATTTTGCTACTTTTCTGCTGATTTTAATTCGCGTCTTTGATTTATTACTATTATCATTATGGAAAGGAAAGGTAAAAGATCCTTCCGAATCTTTAGTGGTTCACCAAAATCAATATTGCATGGGAAGCAAAGTATTTAACATCTAAAAGCTAATTACTTTCTCCTTTAATGTTAATTTTAAAACTAAAAGATAAATTTACTTGCGAAAAGTTAAACTTATTACTTATTTATCTGTGGTCATTTTTTTAATTTCAATAAGTTAGCACTTGCAGTCCATGTGATTTTAATTCATGTTTAAATGTGTGGTTGTGGAAATGATTTTGAATCCGTGTGATTTTATAATATTGATTTTAAATAAATGTGAGTTTATATAAATGTAAATTTTTGTTTGAATAAAATATATTACAAAATTCCTCTAATATATATATATATATATGTATATATCATGTAAATCTTGTATTGAAATTAAATCCACGCCTAATTGTAGTCATAATTTGCTACAGTATTCTTTTTAAAAAATAAGTAATATATGTTAAACAATTTCTTTACAATAAATAGCTAGGTTTGTAAGTTTTTTAATAATAAACTAAAATATTTACATAATATATTAGCTTTTTGAAATAAAATGTATATAGTCTTCATAAAATTTTTAAAATTAATTTAGTATAATTATAAAAAATATAGAAGCGGTTTTAGCTGTATTTTTTTTTAAAAATTAATTAGATAATTATTTTTTTAATTTTTTTTCTTTAATTAAACAATAGCAAAGGACAGAAAGAGAAATGAACCATTTTTTTGAATGGAGATGAAAGTGAATGTTAACAAACTGAAAAATAGTTATGATTTGAAAGCAGAGAGAAGACATTGATAAATGGTAATTAATTTGCTACATAAAAAACTTTTTTGGCAGACCTTTTTGGAGACCAATAAGAGTGACTGACTGTGCTGGTGGTGTAAGGACAGTATAAATATCAGGACAATAACATATCAGAAGATTGCGTGGTTGGAAACTCATTTTCATCTGTCTTTTCACAGCACATTTAAGAGAAAATCGCATTCGCTACTTCCTGTAGCTTCTGTCTTGACGCGGATCCAATGTTTACAAAGGGTATTTCCAAATATCAGGATTCACGGAAATAACATCATCAAAAGAGTGTGTGGTTGGAAACTCATTTTCAACTCTGTTTGAGAAAATCACGTAAGATACTTTTTGTAGCTTCTGCGTTTGACGCACATCCGATGTTTACAAATGTGTTTTCATGTAGAGAATCAATTTTTCCTTCATTTAAAATCTTCTAGCTGTAGCTTTGAATCAAACTCACCTTTTGAGGGTGAAATTCATAAATCAAAATCCTAACTCATAAATCATAATTCATAAACATGTGAAAAATCTAAATACTAAAGAGGTCATTTATTTTACCACCTTATTTTTGATATTATGGAAACCAGGTGGAAATATTTATGAGTCTTGCAAGCATAAAATTAAGTTTCAGCCTTAAATCTGCGTTGCTAAAATACAAACACCGATAAACCCTCCAATTAATGAAATGATGCCCAAACCTTTCAATTTTCCCGCCAAACGCACAACCGCACTTTTCCTCCTAACCGCAACCACCGCCGCCGCCGCCGCCGCACAAACCACCAACTCCGCCGTTCCCTCTCCCCTCCCCGCGTTCTCTGCCGACAAACTCGGAGGCGAAATCCACGGCCTCATCCGCACCGCTCGTGCCGTCTCGGCGGTGCCGATTCTTTCCATTTTCTATTCTATTTTTCCTCGCTCAACTCTTCTCACAGTTCAATTTCACTTCTCTCTTCGATCTCTCAGGTTGCTTCCACCGTCGTTGACTACGAATTCTCGTTGCGCGGCCTTCACAAGGACTCCGACCAGTACCGTCGAGCGATTTCCCAGGTTTTCGCTGTTCCAATCGTTTTGGTGATAATAGCTTCGATTTTATGCTGTGTTGAGATGTTGAACTCATCGTTTTGATGCTTAGGTTCATCTACGCTCTGCCGAGAGGTTTCTCAAGTTATGCGAAGCCAACAAAGGGTTTTACGTGAAGGCTGGACAGTTCGTTGCTTCGCAGAAAGTGCTTCCTAAAGAGTATTCGTCCACTTTGTCTTCATTACAGGACCAGGTTTTTCTCAATTAAGTTCCAATTTCCTTTGTTTTTGGTTAGTTATCTTGCTAATTGGAATATTATGATGACCTAGGTTGCTCCTCTTCCTTTTAAAGTTATTAGGGAAGTGTTAAAGGATAATGTCGGACCTGATTTCTCTGAGATGTAAGTTGCCTTTAGTAACTGAACTTTGATTTTACAGAATCATTTATATTTTGTAATGTTGCATTGTTCAATTAATGGTTCTGTATTCTAATTTCTATTAAGCCCTCTCGTGCAAGAGCCATCTGGACTAAAAAGTGTGAAAATGCATAAGCTATTGTTGTAGCTTGAATTGAACCTACCTTTCAGAATTCTGACTGCTGATATAATACTCTCACCCATTAAATCCCCATGTTCTTTTATAATTTTTTATGCAAGTTAAAAACTTGAAACTTTAGTGGTCTTATTTGTAAGCTTTAACATTACTATTTATACTTACGTGAATTACAGGTTTTTGTCAATTGATGAACAGCCTATAGCCGCTGCATCTATTGCTCAAGTTCACCATGCAGTGCTGAAAAGTGGACATGAAGTAGCAATCAAGGTTTGTATATTGGTGTTAGTGGTTTCCTGAATTCTTGATGGATTTCTATGAAGTACAAACTGACATAGATATTAGACATAGATATTCCAACACAGTTGATGTCCAAAATATTGGAAACTGGGATACTGCATGCATGTACACACACAAATATAAAAGAGAAATTCAAATGAATTTGAATATAATATGACAAATGACCTAACTTGATAATCAGGATTTCTATATTCACTTTCTTTCTATAGCAATGAGCCTCACAAAAATACAAACAGACATCATTTTACAATGAAAACACTGTCTCTTAAAAAAAAAAAAAAAATTCACAAAACAGGATGAATTATAGCTCCAATGAAAGATTGAACATATTTCATGCCTTCTTGGGAGCTATAATTCATATTCTTGAGATTGAGAAAATTGAAGTATTGTGCTTGACTTGACTCCAATGAGTTGGATATTGTGCTTTATTAACAATGAAACGCCTGGCAGTTTTTTTATATCTTGTAATCCCTAAAATGCTTCTTCTGTAAACAGTAAACCCATTAGGTTGAAAATAACATTATCATTACAAAATTTCCTTGGTCAGTTGATTCAGTTCTAATTTGTTGAGTTAATTATATGGTTTGTTGATTCTACATCTCCACTTGAATGATGTTATGCTCAGGCACTATATCAAAACAAGATTTAGATTTAGCTACTTGAGTCCAAACCTGACTATAAGTATCACTATAAAATTTCATGGATTGCATTTGAGTTAATAGAAATAATTATTATGTATAATAATGCTATTTAGAAGATATTGTTATTTCCCTGATTATATCATATATGGTAGCATATAATATCACACATTGCTGGAAAATTTTAAAAGATTTATACTTCTATCATTATTTGGTAAACACTTATGTCATTTGCTTGTATGCTTCTTGCTAATACATATTTTGTATTGAGGTAAGCTACATTTTGAAAACTCTATTTGAATTGTAAAGTCATTTTCTTCACCGGAAACTAGGTACAATATCCTTGGATAGAGCAGCAGATGAATTTTGATACAAGGACAATGTATTTCCTATCAAAAACTATTGCATGGGTATGCTCTGGCTCTTGACAGCTGTAATTATTATTCTAGTTGATGTTGCTTCTTTGCTTTAATATTGCTTCCTTTGATTGCAGTTATACCCTCAATACAGGTTTGATTGGCTACCATTAACGTTTGCCAAGTCTGTGTCCTCAGAACTTGGTCAGTAAGAATGCCTAGTTACTCTATGAAAAATGCATTCTCTCACATAAGGGTGTATCATATATCAACTGTGGCCATATTGTCTAGCTTTAGAACCACCATAAATATTCCCTACATATCAGCCACTGATTTATGTTAAGTATTTCAACTACTGATGCAAGTAGGGTAGTTAGTCTAGAATTTATTTTACCTGCTAAACATGATCAGTTTTTTTTTTTAATTATACTTTATCATTTATAAGTTATCCTTTTCTGGGACAAGGAATTCTGAGAGAGCAGCAAAGGAATTTGAGGTGACTGAATGAATGAGATATTTTCTCTTACTACTTTCTTGCAGATTTTGTTCAGGAGGCAAGGAATTCTGAGATAGCAGCCAAAAATTTCAAAAATAACAAAATGGTCAGAATTCCTCATGTATTCTGGGTATGATAATTGAGATAATTTTTGCTCCTTCTGTGAACTTCTTATTTAGTATTTTTGTACTACTTACCAATTTACCATCAAATTATGCATGCAGGACTTGACAACAAGGCAAGTCCTAACCATGCAGTTTTATACAGGACACAAGGTATGATTTATCAGTCATGTCAGTAAATGATTATGTTGGAAAAAAATTGTTGTCGCATTAGTTCTAAAGATAGCACTTATTGATAAATCATTTATAAACTCCTTGAACCTTGTAAATTTATAAACTTAACAGTTTTTGTTGCTTGTTTTTGATCTGGGGCTTTGGTTGTTACATTGTCTCCCTCTTGAATGCTTGACATTCACTTCATCATTAAGCCCACTTGATTGTTAGGATTCTCCTCAGGTGATTTTGGTTTTCAAAGGAAAACCAAAACCTCCCAACCCTATCTTCGATACTATTGCCACCTTGTCTGTCTTCCTTTAACGAATGTCTTTGAGGATGCTTAAATGAGGTCTAACAACAGGAGAGGGTTGCATTATATACCATTAGTATTTCTTAGCTATCCAATTTGTGATTTTCTAAGATATATTTACTTTTAGTAGGTCCTTAAGCAGTTTCTTAGCCCTTGTGTGGGAGGAGAAGCATAACATTCACAATATATAAAGAAGAAAGGGCATCATGTACTAAGGAGAATACCTTAACAATCAAAGAAAATGACAGAAAGGAAAAAGAAATGGAAATTTGAACAGTGAAATTTGGAATTATTATATTTTTAAATGTAAAGTTGTCTGCTTATTAAAACAGATGTGCTTATATTCTTCAATATATGCTTTGTTGCTTCTTTTGCAGTGGACACTTTTCATTCCTTTGAGAAAAAACAAAACTGTATTATTGAAGTTTTATGCTATTCTGCTCAGATAACACGAACTGGTGCATACCCTAGTGAAGTATTCTTGTGGTTATAAAATTAAGCCAAAACCCATTAATTTATATAATTATTAAATGACAAAGTCAGTCTCGCATGGGCATTTTTATATTATGTTACTGCAGTGTGCTTGTAGTAATATTGATATTCAAGCTGTGCTATGCTTTAGATTTCTGTATATCACATTCTATTAATAGTTGGATTACTCAATTTCAGATTGATGACTTGGATTTTCTGAATCAGATTGGGGTTGATCCAGAAAAGGTTGACTTGTCACAGCTATGGTGAACTCGTGTAAATTGTGTTTTATGTTCTTTATGGTGGGATTATTTCTCTTATTGTGGTGCAGCCATGCAGCATTGGTAATTAGTTGATGAATGTTATCACCAATCAGATGAATATCAACTCAAAGTCACATTCATTTCTTCCTATTGTTATAGTGCTAAGTGCTCACTTGCTTATCTGATTCATTCTAAACATGTTACTGAAGGTAGCAAAATCACTGACTGAGCTGTTTGCTGAAATGATATTTGTACATGGTTACATACATGGTGATCCACACCCTGGTAATATATTAGTTTCTCCCGAAGGTTGTAATGGTTTCTCTTTGGGTACGTACTAATGTATTTGAAATCATTTTTTCTCTAATTGGATACTAACTGAAACTTAGAACATGGAAAAATTTAATCTTGACCTTTTCCACCCTATTGGAATTATTTTGCAGTTCTTCTAGATCATGCAGTCTACACGACATTGGATGATGAATTCAGAAAAGATTTTTGTCAATTATGGGAAGCTTTAATTCTCAAGGATTCAATGAAAACAATGCAGCTTGGTGAGCGATTTGGTGCCAGGAAGTATTCCAGATACTTACCCATCATTTTCACTGGAACAACCATTGAAAGGTTCCTTCCTGACTTTCTGTTTATTGATACATATAAATGATATTGGATTGATATTTGAAATTTATCCAATTTGATAATTGTAGTTATTTATTATGGTTTCACTTAGTGGTGGATTACAAATTACAACAGTAATGCACAACTCATTGCAATTGGTATGATCTATCTGTTTATTCATTTTATTGTTTGGATTGTGCATACAATTCTCACGTTTAACAAATTATATTGGTAAATAGTCGAGGGCTATTGTAGATACGAGTAATCAAGGAGTACTGTAGTGTGGTCATTAAAAGGTTACTATCATTGTATAAACTAAGTCTGTCTACGGCCTGGTGCAATGGTTTGCTCATTGCATTACCATTGTTAGGTCCCAGGTCCGAGAAATGACATGCCCTCATCCAGACCAAAAAATTCATTGTATAAATTAAGGATCAGAAATTTCTTAAAATAACCATGTGATGATTCCTTTGTTTTTAAAATTGTTTATATCGGAGGATATCAAATAGCTGAAGCCTAAAGTGGAGAATGCTTTCAAATTAAGCTCCATATCTTAATGTGCCTTTTGGAGGAAGCTTTGTATTAAGTGCTAATAATGTCGGGCACAAAATGATGATCTCTTGAATTGCCTGATGTATCGGAGAAAAATAAAACCTTGTATGTCATGATTACCAATTTATTACAAACATCTCCTTAGTTGCTTCCAAAAGGAATGAACTAATGATCATCCAAAAAAACCATGATTGGATATTTGGCCTTCCTTTGGTTCTTAGCCTAGGATTTATTAGGAGTTAGTAGTTATAATTGTAATGGTAAATTAGTTATAATGGTTAAGTGCAATGCTTTAAAAATCGGACGAGTCGAGATATTGAGGTTGAATTGGTGAGTCACTAATTAAATTGTATGATCCTGTCTTTATGAAATTTTTTTACAAAAAATGTATGTCATATATATTTCATACCAATAAATTTTAATAAAATTCATGCCACCTTGAAGAAGTCCTCAAAAAAATTGTAGCCAATATATAATACAGACAAAACATCCAAATTATAGATCGGTTGAATCACATAAATTAATATATTATTAAATATATAATTTTTAATTAAAATATACTATATAAATCATATAAGTCAATTGTATAACAATAGTGTATGTTGGTTTAGTGGTCGGGTCACTAAGGTGTTAAATAATCACATTCACCAAGATTCAAGTCCCATCTTATCTAAAGTTATTTTTGTTTTTGCTTTGTATAAAGAAATACATGAGAAAACAAAGGTTGAACTATATGAATTGGTATGTAAAACATAATTTAATATAGTATATATATTAATATTATATTTGTTAAGTATAATAACATGAAATTGCTTGGTTCAGTGGTAAGGCATTTGCTCTCAAATGTCTTGATCAGTGCATGTGTCAAACTTGAGAACAGAGGTTGAACTACATGAATTGGTATGTAAAACATAATTTAATATAGTATATATATATATATATATATATATATATTATATTTGTCAAGTATAATAACATGAAATTGCTTGGTTCAGTGGTAAGGCATTTGCTCTCAAATGTCTTGATCAATGCATGTGGCAAACTTTGAGATGTGAGACTCAGACCGGTGATCCAGTCAGTTCGAGTCGATTTTTAAAACTATGGTTAAGTGTTGGTTGCTGAAATTAATTATCTTTTGTTGATAGTTTAGATCTTGTTGGTTACATCTTATTCTAATTTAAACTTTTCTTTACAAAAAAAAAAAGCTTTAAATATTTGAGTACATGTTAATATAATATAAGAATACAAAAAATGTAGTATTTTCAATATGAAACTAAGAGATATGAATATTTGATCATGAGAAGTTATTATGAATAGTAAATCCTTAAATACTGATGTGGCGAGAGAGAAGAAAGTAAAGTTATATATTTATTGAAAAGAAAGCACACACATATATATATATATATATATATATATATATTTGCTGAAATCCACTATTTCAGCAGTTACACCAGTTTTAAGTGGGTTAGTGGCATACCCGATTGGTTGTCGGCCTGTGATCCAGTCAATCTGAGCCAATTTTTAAAACTATGATTAAGTGTTAGTTGCTGAAATTAATTATCTTCTGTTGATAGTAGTTTAGATCTTGTTGGTTACGTGTTTTTATCTTAATTTAAACTTTTTCTCTACAAAAAAAAAAGCATTTATATATATATATATATGCTATATCAATAATAACAAATTCATTTTCATTTCTTCATTCCCTATTTCAAGTTTCAACTCTCCTTTGTTAATATGATTTATTGCAGGGGGCTCCTTGACGGATTAATGCAGAAAGATGAAAGACCTGTTGTGTTAATGAGCTTGTTTTCTGTTGCCTTTTGCTTTTGTTCTGCTTTGTTTTTATTTTTTTTGGAAGGCAATGTAATCTGTGACTAATAATTTGTTTCTTGCATAAAAAAGTTATCAATGGGGCATTTTATGTAATTTGCAGCAAAAATGTTGTTGGCATATCAATCAAAGAAAAAGAGACCTTGAAACACGAATTGAAAAGTCTGTTGTTTGAGGACGTATCTTCATTCATGGAGTCTCTGCCCCCAGATTTTATTGCTATACTGCGTGTAGAGTAAGAAACAGAGTTCAAGCTTGCTTTATTGGACGCTGAAAATTTGTGTTACTTGATGAGCTTAACATATCTTACTTTTTTCATTCTAGTGCACTGTTGAGGTCTATCATTAGAAAGATGGATGTCTCACGGGTCACGAGGTTGCTAACTTACACTAAATATGCGGTGTATGGTCGTCTCTGTCTAAAGTCGAATGGTGAAGGCGAATCGTGTAAAATACTCGGAACAAACTTGTGTGAGTTCCCTTCTCATTTCTTAAAAGTTTACATGAAAGCTTGTCATAATTCACTGAATGAATTGCCTCTAACTAGATCCTTTAGGAAATTAATTAAAGAAACAAATATAGAAAGTGTTTATTTAAAATAAAAATATTTATTATGTTAAAAATACACAGAGCATTTAATGTTTATTTCTTAAAAAATTTTACAACACTTAAATCTATGTTGAGTATTTTTTTTAATGAAATGTACAAAAACATTCCTTTGCAGAACCTTGTGTCAATAGTGTTATGTCTGTTCCCAAACCCGTACATGATACATCTACCCCTTTACACCGATTACTCATGCTTTTCTTACCCAAAAGTGGTAAGTGTAAAGAGGGAGAAATACTAGTGAAAACCTACGATACCTGTTTCGTCTGTAAGTCCAAGGATATTTTGAGTCATCGTGTGATGGAACTACTTGGAGAAGATTGTTGTTCTTCCAAGTTCTCCATGCAAGGACCTTTAAACTCTTGAGGTTGACCACGAATTTGGATGAGGAACTCCTTTGAAGAAGTTTCAATGGAAAAGAATCACCAAGGAGGTTCGGTTACTCCATGAAAGAGTGATGAAGCTTGTTGAACAAGCTAAAAGGTTGGAAACCTTTGAGAGAAACTTAGAGAGAAAGTTTCTCCACGAAATTTAGGACTTTAAGAGGAGAGAATTTGAGTCAAATTCTGATTTCATATCTCAAAAAGTGAAGTACAATGAGCAATTTAGAAATATATAGGGAGAGGTAGCTTGTAGAGGAAGCTAACCTTAACCATGGTTCACTAGGAACCATGGTAAGGTGTAGCTAACCATCCATGGTTTCTAAAACTTGTAGGAGAAGCTAACCTTGACCATGGTTCACTTAAGAACCATGGTAAGGTCAGCCAAACCTACTAAGGTTTAGAAGCTTGGAAGGAAAGCTTCAAAGCTTGTAAGAGAAGCTAGAAATTTTGGCCAAGAATAAAAGGAATGAGCTAGGCGGGCAAGGCTCAAAAATGCTCCATGATTTATTTCAAAAATATTTGATTTGGTTTAGTTAGGTTCATCATATGATGATGAGACCTAGCTAAATCAAATCTATGAAAAATTAGGAGCAAAATGAGTCTAATATGCAAAATTTTGCCTAGGCCCAGTTCTGGCCCAATTACTAGTCACACCCTCAAGCATTGCTAAATGCCACCCCTTTTTCCCTACTGAAAAAATATAAAATGAATGTATCAACAAAGGAGGTTAAATGGAGTTAAACTCTCCAAGTAACCCACCCTAAAATCAATATACAATCACTAGTTAAAAGCAAGTAAAGTGCCTCACAAATACAAAGACAAAAATAAGCCTATACAAAGAGACTACTATATGTACAAACATATGAAAGGTCTTTAATATCATCCCATTCCTCTTGGTTCTTTTAAGATATCACCTCTTGGATTCCTTGGCCTTGGCCATAGTCTATCATCGTGTCTGAAGTATTTTTCGCTCTGTTGGTCGATGGGTTATCACGGTTTTGTCATTTAAAAGACGTTTCGATAGGTTAAGGAAGGAGAGTGTTTTATAAACTATTCATAGTCTTGATTCTTAAGCAATGTAGAACTTTTAGACATGTTAGAACAAACCTTTCACTCAAGACTAAGGGATAAGAGTGACCTAAATACTCTTTCTAGCACCAATATTCCAACCGTTAATTCGTAAATATTATTAGAGTTGCCGTATTTAAGGTATTGTCCATTTTGACATTCGTTGGGTCATCATGATTTTGTTTTTGAAAAGGTGTTTTGGTGGGTTAAGGAAGAATGGTATTTATAAATTATTATTAGTCTCAATTTTTAAGCAATGTGAGCCTTTTAAGTATATCATTTCGGTACTTAATTTGGATGCACAAAAGTTGGGAGGATGAGATTTATGCAAGTATTTATCGTAAATACAAGATTTCTGGTGTTGATATTTTTCATATAGGCCAGAGAAAAGAATATAAGAGCTTGCAGAATTAATTTTCACTATGATTTTGCTTTTTGTGCTTCCAGATTTTAATGCGAAAGCTGGTTTTTTCAGTTTCATATCAACGATAAAATATCTCCACATCCTAATTACGGTCTTTATAGGTGAGATTGCTTTTACCTATGATTTGATTTAAATATCACCTTGAGTTTGAACTATTTCCCTTTGCCCCCTTCCATCAGGGACCATTGATGTTATCCCTTGGAAGCAGAAGTTGAAAAGTGTACAGAAATACTTGTACAGCAAGATCAGTTGCGACTCTTTTGGCTGCCTGGTGCATTCCGTTTTTCTCCTTTTATGTATCAGTCGTAATACATTGTTTTAGATATTGAATTCTGTCTCGACCAAAGGCTTATTTGACGGTATACTATCCCTGAATAAGAGTTGGGAGTGTACCAAATGACAGATCAAAGTATGAAAGAAGCGAATCTCAATTGTATAAACAGAATGAATGATTATAGTTAAAATAAATTAAAACAATCTTAACCATTGTGTATACTGTATAGGTTATATGGTTAAAATTCTCTTTTCACCTCTTATGCACGCATTACATGTCTATGAGGATGTGTAAATTTACATCATGCAACCAATTCTCCTTGAGAACTAGAAATCTAGGTTTTTTTTTTTTTTGAAAAAATACAAATTTTATGCGAAACATTACGGATTAAGTAATATAATCTGTATAATATCCTCTTACAACCAATAGAAGTTGCTTTTCTAACAAATTTTTTTACCTAAATAATAAATATCCATCTCTCCAACCATTAAAATCAAAATTCTAAACATGTTTGTTGGAAAAAAAAATGAGTAAAGTGTCATTTAGTTCCTAATATTGAAAGAGGTTGTTAGTTATTTACTAGTTTAAATTGAGGTGAATTACATACAAAAAAGGTTTTTCTAAATAAAAAATCTCCTTTATCTTTTTTCATAAAAAGAAAAATATCTTTTCAAATTTAAAACTTGTAATAATAGAATAAAATAAAAAAAAAATAGATTCTTTTTATTGGAGGTGTAACGAATACTTTGTAATTTAAGGGGCTGCAGCTGCACTCACCTGATTCGTTCTAAAGGTTTCGACGGTAAAGAGGTCATTGTCCTTTACCTCTTACCTCTTCATTCTCTTCCCTTGATTTGTTTCATTCTCTTATTGGTGATTCAGCCTCAAGGTTTTAGTGAGGCGCGTAGACTGCGGCGTTGTCCTCGTCAATTTTCTATAAGTGGGCTCTCAATGTGTCTTTTCCTTTGCGAGTCTCTGATTCTGGTGTTACATAAGCTTATTTATTAATTATATCATCTGTTTTATTTCACTAATTAGCTTATTATTGAATTAATGTGGCAACTCCTTGGCTAAAGTGGAGTTAAATTTATTACGTAACACATGGCTTCCTTGATGGAGCTATTTAAGGCCCCGTAACTCCTCTCCTTACCTTCATTCTAATTAATCAGTTTTACACATTCTCTCTCTCTCTGAAGACTCGAAATGGTTCTTTCGAAAACTGCCTCTCAGACAGATGTCTCTGTCCATTCAACCTTCGCCTCTCGCTATGTCCGCGCCTCCCTCCCCAGGTGGATCTCTCTCTCTTTAATGGATCCTTAATTATTATATATGTGAATGTGATGATGATTGATGATGCATGCATCATGCATGTATGCATGCATGGAATGGTGTTGCAGGTTCAAGATGCCGGAACAATCGATTCCGAAGGAAGCGGCGTACCAGATCATAAACGACGAGCTGATGCTTGACGGGAACCCTCGGCTGAACCTGGCCTCCTTTGTGACGACGTGGATGGAGCCTGAATGCGACAAACTCATCATGGCTGCCATCAACAAAAACTACGTCGACATGGATGAGTACCCTGTCACCACTGAGCTCCAGGTAACATCCCACTTCTTCCATGCTTCTCTACCTTCAATATCTATTCCATCAATACATAACATCCTCTTATTGCCAATCAACGCCCTCAATTTCCACTCTCAACAAAATTACTCTTTTATCTCACCATTTCAATACAAAATCATTCTTTTTTTTATTTATATATATATTTGTATAAGAGCCTTAAGAGGACCATTTTCTTAAATTGCTTTTTCTTGCACCAAAAGTGATAAAAACTTTCATGCATCATAATTAATGTTAAAACAAAACTCATTTTTGAAAGAGCTACAATTTTATGAATGGTGACAGCTCCTTTCATTCAATTTAAGATATCATCTGACTTATTTAACGTGAATAAAAGTAAATTAAGTAATTCTAATTATTGAGAAGCAAATTAATAACTTTTATTTTCATATATTTACAATATATTATGTATGTATTTTAATATAAATTACTGGTTTTTCATTAATGAGAAAAATTACTTAGTTACTTATAAAGATAATTATTCATTCTAAAAGAATCAAATTCAGTCGAATTGTGTTAATTTGATATGCCTTTAAATTTATAAAATTTCTCGAAATCACCCATAAATTTTAGCATAATGGTGGCATTTTTATTTTTATTTTTTTATTTTTTATTTTTTAAATCCCAGGATTGTGTTAACGAGGGACTTGAATAAATACTCCCCAGAGTCATAAATTCGAATATCATTACCACCGCGTACATTCAAAAACACATTATACAAAATTCTTGAGGCAGTATGTTTTACATCTTAAAAGATTATTAAAAATATATTATTTTCATGACTAAAACCCAGTACCATTTATTTTCAATTTTTATTTTTTAAAGTGAAAATTTATTGTTCACTATTTTAAACTTCAGAATTTCTTTTTATATATTTTTAATTTTTATCTGCGGGCTCTGCTTTTGTTTCTGTTACACCCATGTTTCATAATTGTGAGACATTTAAATTGGGGGCCCATATCGAAAACATGGAGAGCCCTCAATCAATGGCAGGCAATTACGAAGTCCATTGGCCCAATCAAAATACATTGGGCCAGTCTTTTGTTTTGATAACTGGAACCAATTTAAGACATATAGTAATGGAAATTTAAGACTAATGGTTGGTTATATATATAAAAAAAAGTACTAGATCTAGAAATTTAAACATGTGTGTGTCGAAACATTTAATTGAAAATTTTTTCCATCCAACATTTTTCAATCTTAAGACTCGTAAGAACTCAGTTAAATATAGATAAACTTCAACATACGAAATTAAGGGGAGGTGTATTAACTTATGAATTATATTAAGGGGCGGTTTATTAAATTGTGTCTATAAATACATGGTATAAAATTATTGAATACATTTTTAAATCAGTCTAAAAAGTCAAGCATTTGATGATTGTTTTTTATATAACAAATGTTTTATTTTTAATGGCTTATCATATATTTATAAACACAATAAAAAATAATAAACATTTTATAATATAAAATTGATGACTTTTGGCTCAGACACTAATCATAATCCCTAACATTTTAGAGCTTAGACCATTGTAAAAGCTACCCAACGGAGCTTCCTTTATCGGCTTGGCAATATGGCAATATGTCAATATCCCACTTTTATTTGTGGAATTTAATATACTCTCTTTGTATGTGCCCAAACCCTTAACATAGGGTGAAAAAGATACAGCAATTTCATCCATTTATATAGTCTTAATATGAAACAAATCTTCATTCATACTAAATAAATGTTTATTAATATCTAGTAGATTAGTGATATCCTTTTGTAAAACCTAATTTCTCTTCTCTAGTTTAACTTTATCATGAAATGGTTTATGATGAATTGATTTTAAGATTGTGAATATATATATATATATATATATATATTTTCATGCGTGTTGGTTTCAATTTTCCTGCAAGGCAAGTTTAGGTTTTCATCTTTTTAAGTGGTAGAATGAATAACGACAAATTAAGTTTAATTTTTAAGGGTGAAACTAAAATCTGAATTAGGTAAAAATCAACCTTATTCACTACATTGTCAACTTACTCTCCAAGTCCCACGTGATACCTAGCATAAAAAAATAAAAATGTGTATCATCAATGTAGTGATCAAATTCATCTTAACCATAGAAAAAAGATAAGTCATATTTTTCTTTATCTATACCATCAAATTAATTAGGTCAATATAATCACATGTGCTGATAAGGTGGAAGGGACCAAGTTGGCAAGCATGTGGGGTCTAAGTAATAACTGTATCCACATAAGAAAAAGTTAACATTACACTAGTTTGGGAACATGTCAATATTTGGGTGATTTAGATCTACCAGAATTAAAATGAGTAATGTTATATAAAAATTCATGTAAAGTCGGGTGGTTGATCTTTCAAATAAATGTTATTCAATGTAGACAGATTTTTTTTTTTAAATTGCTTTTAGGTTGATTTAATGACTAACGTGAAGAAGAATTATGTGAATAATCGATATCTAAAAGAATTTAATGTCACTCAAGCTATAACTCTCTAACATTATATTATATTTAGTTGTGATTGTATAATTATTCAGTAATTTCATTTTCGTTACAAACTGTCATAGAAGTTATCTTGTAAAATAGATTTACATGATACTATGTTCTTTAAACGACATTAACAAATGGAGATATAAATCATTTTTTTAAAATTGAAAATAATGAGAAACAAAAAAAACTATTGAAGAATTAAAACCAAATTTAATTATTTTTAGAAGACTAAAAACATATTTTTATCTTTAATTTAAATGACACAAACTCTTTTAGGGATTGCTTGATCTAGAGATCGTATTCTAGCAAACCTAACTTAGCAAGCATTATTCTCTGATTCTCCTATACTAATTATAAATTTGTAATAAAAAGTTAAAAAGAAATATTTACATCATACTTGCTCTATAAAGTAAAAGAGAATGGTTGAAACTTGAAAGTTACACTACTTCCTAAAGAATACATACAGGGCAAAAATGATTTCATATTTCTAAGGAGTACTGTATATACTTGTGGGAGAAAAGAGAACTAAGAAGATAGAAAAAGGAACGTGATAGATATAACATATTTAATAATAAGAAGAAAAACAGCATGGAGATAGCTTAATATAAGTCATTAGTCAAATATGTACATATGTTATAATCTAACTTTGTTATTAATCTACTATGTGCATGTGTTCTATCCACGTTCTCTAAAAATAGCATAATATAAGTTAAATATGTACATATGTTCTACTCATTGAGTGTATAATATATGTACATAGATTCTATTTATAGAGTGTAAATATAAATTAAAAGGTGTGACATAGTTGATAAATAATCTTATCTTTTAAATGTGATCGGAAATTTAATTTTAAGCCAATACATATGAAAAAATATTTGTTGAAAGAGATCAATCATTAATATTTTAGAGGACAAATCCTTAACTTTCGGTTAAGAGATATATTGATTTGCCAAAAAAAAGAATGCATAAAGATTGCTAATGAAATTTTGAGTATATAGTTGATTTGTGCATATGTTTTGATCGACTTTACCATTAAACTTTGTATGCATGCAGAACCGGTGTGTTAACATGATAGCTCATCTTTTCAATGCACCACTTGAAGAGTCAGAAACTGCAGTTGGTGTTGGCACCGTTGGCTCATCAGAGGCCATAATGTTGGCTGGATTAGCATTCAAAAGGAGGTGGCAAAACAGAAGGAAACAAGAAGGGAAGCCAATTGACAGTCCTAACATTGTCACTGGTGCCAATGTTCAGGTACACAAACCACTTCTTAATGTTCTACACTGTACAAGAGCATAGTATAACTGAAATTTTAGTGTAACTGAAAATTGATTTTGAAAATTCTAGCATATTGATGTCAATAATAAATAAGTCATTGGGTTTGGTTGATTCTACCATGTGAAGGTTTGCTGGGAGAAATTTGCAAGGTACTTTGAGGTGGAGTTGAAAGAGGTGAAGCTGCGTGATGGATACTATGTAATGGACCCTGAAAAGGCTGTGGAAATGGTGGATGAGAACACCATTTGTGTTGCGGCCATCCTTGGTTCCACTCTGAATGGAGAGTTTGAAGATGTTAAGAGCTTAAACGATCTCCTCCTGGCAAAGAATGAGGAAACTGGGTGAGTTTTGCACATATTAATTGAGTCCTTCCTATTTTTTGTGAACTGAGTCTAAAGTACTTAATAATTGGAATTGATATATGAAATTAAATTTTGGGTAGATGGAACACTCCAATTCATGTGGATGCAGCCAGTGGTGGATTCATTGCACCCTTTCTTTATCCAGAGCTAGAGTGGGATTTTCGGTTACCACTAGTGAAGAGCATCAATGTTAGTGGACACAAATATGGTCTAGTCTATGCTGGAATTGGTTGGGTCATTTGGAGAAGCAAGGAAGACCTTCCTGACGAACTCATTTTCCACATTAACTATCTTGGAGCTGATCAACCCACCTTCACCCTCAACTTCTCCAAAGGTAATTCACACACTCAATTGGTTTAGTAACTACCAACTAGATTAATGGACCTGAATCATGCTTTCCCTTTCTACCATTAATTAGTTTATGCCTAATGGTCAATACTAATTCCTTTCATTAAATATGCAACGAATGCAGGTTCTAGCCAAGTTATTGCTCAGTACTACCAACTCATTCGATTGGGTTATGAGGTATTAATTAAGACACCCATTTAGGCAAAACATAGATTAAATTTCTTATATCCTTAGCATCCAATTCTTAAACCAAGCAATGACAAGTGACTGTATTTTGTTAACATGAATTTGTGAGTCCTACTTATGTTAGTAACATGAAGTTTATAAGCTTCTCAAATTATGTAAACTTTATTCTTTTTTTCCTTTTGTGAAAGTGTTATATATATTAATTGGGATGGCAGGGCTATAAAATGGTGATGGAAAACTGCACAGACAACATGGTAGTGCTGAAGGAAGGACTAGAGAAAACAGGGCGGTTTGCAATTGTATCGAAAGACGTTGGTGTGCCATTGGTTGCGTTCACATTGAAGGATCGTAACCACTTTGATGAATTCCAAATCTCTGATATGCTGAGGCGTTATGGATGGATAGTGCCAGCATACACGATGCCCCCAGATGCACAGCATGTGACAGTGCTACGTGTTGTGATCAGGGAGGACTTTTCTCGCACCCTCGCCGAGCGTCTTGTGAGTGATGTCACCAAAGTGTTGCACGAGCTCGATTCGCTTCCTGCTCGGGTCATCAGCAACACCGTCACTGCTGCCGGAGAAGATGTCGATAATGGGGCCAAGGTGCTCGTTGCCAAGAAGAGTGAAATTGAGACACAAAGGGAAATCACTTCAGCTTGGAAGAAGTTTGTCATGGAGAGGAAGAAGATGAACTGTGTTTGTTAAGACTTCAGACCACTCCCTATGTCTCTACCACCTTTCTTTTACTACAAACTACATTATTATTTATATGAGTTTTTGATAAATGGGAGAACCTACCATGTAAGTTTTGATATTTGAAATTAATGAGTTTTTGATATGAGCTTTGTAAGTATGATTTATTTTATTTTGTCAAGTCCAGTTGTGTTCTTTTAATCCCAGAAGTTTGTTTAAATTTTCTCATTCTCAAATTGTTCTTGAATTTTTGTAAAGCTATACTCATTTTGTCCTAGTTTAAGGTTTCAATTATCGTAGCCCATGAGACTGGAAAGATATGTGCGAGCCCAACATTACAGGAAATATGTTTCAGAATTATGTTCAAGAGATAACAGTTAATCATTTAAATTTGAACACTTTGGAAACTGATCAATCAATCAATGTTCAATACCACTTATTGTTGAAGATGAGTCCTGTTTACGGAGGAATTAACCATCAAATCCTGGGTTCTTTTTATTTAGACTAGCATACGAACGTATTTCAATTTAGGTGCTTTACTGTGTTATCGTGTTACCGCGAATGGAGAGTAGGATGAAAAAGTCTTAGCAACTACTTGTTTCAAAATGTTCTTCGATTAAAACAAACAAGCAATGTTCCCGCATGCAAATAACAATATGAATAGAATGAACAATGTATACATTCGCAATACAAATCATGTTCAGATTACATAATGTTCAAGCATTACAAGATTAAAGTCTATGACTACGTAATTAAAAGAAGAGAAGAGAAAAGAAAGACTACACTAATCCTACTCCTAAAAAGAGAAAAGACAAGTGGCCGAGAAGTGATCATACCCAAAGATGATTCCTCGCATGGAAGCCATATGTGCAGGCAGAGAATGCTTCAGAATTTGGTTAGAGTATGAGTTTTCCGACCTTCGTAAAGGTCCGTACTCCTTGTATTTATAGAGCAATCAAGGGCGGTTAATTCTGTACATGTACGCTTTTGACTCATAACCGCTATCCACTATATTTGCTACGTGGTCTTGACTCACAACTTCCTTTAACCGCTCTTCCCACGTTCCTTGTTTCCTCGATTGATTTTTTGGTAACTGTTTTGGCTTAACCTCCATGTTCTAAGAGTCTCAACTTTTCAACTATTCTCGAGCAACACTTGTTTTTTCGAGTCCCATAATTTCGAGTGCTCTCACGCCCCACATGAGATTAGTCACAAGTATTCAGCATGTGTTGATTTTACTTCTCAGGCAGCGCTATCAATCTTTTCGAGTCACATGATTTTCGAGTACGCCTAACAAATGCCCCCCCTAGGAATTTGGTTTCGATGAGCATCTTAGGAGAAAACTAAATTCCTATCAAGGTTGTTCTTCGATACTTCCTCGATTTGTTTCTTGATGTTCACTTTTCTTGACGTTAACTTAATCTTTCTTTCGATGAAAACCTATTCTTGTAAGGTACTGACCATTTGGATGTGACATTGATAGCTCTGACGGCGCATACTTCTATTTTTCCATAAATTTGTCTTCTGATATGAAACGTTTTGGCGGTTGTTTTGGAAATTCAATTTAATATTTCAAATAATCTTGCCTAACCTAACCCGTTTCAACCTAGGCCCATTTACCTCGTTTAAAACCCCTTTTTCACCCTAGGGTTAAATTGTTTTCACCATTCTCTTCCTTCGTGCCCAAGTTTTCTTGCTCACTGTTTCTTTTTTGCTCTGGTTCTTGATCTTCTTCTCAGACCGTTCTCTCTGTTCTTGCTTTTGTTCGTTATGGCTTCTTCTGCTGCGTCCACTTCCGCTGCCGTAGCTTCTTCAATGTCTCCTACTGCCACCACTTCTTCCCCTATTTTGATTGCTACTACTTCTGCTGCTATGCCCACCACTCCGGTAACCACTATGGCCACCGCAACTACTATCCAGGACACTCCTCTGCTACTGACTGGTGCTCAGGTTCAAAAGGTCAAAGAAGGTGATGACACTTTCATTCCAATTCCAGGCATGGAGGAGGCTAGTTTGAAAATATACCAATCTCAGGTACTTCTTCCTTTTTCTCTAGCAGATGGTTCTGTTCATGCTTTCCTTGGTCCTTTTGCTGGTCAAAATACCAAGAGATATGGTAATACCCTTTTGCCTGAGGACTCCACCACCCTACCTTTCATTTATTCCCCAGAAATAGACCTAAACCTTTTTGGGGATACTACCAAAATTTTTAGAGCGTTTCCCCCCGTTAAAGAAAGGCACCTCTCTTGGTTAGCTCGTGTAGAGGCTTCTATGTCCTCAGAATGGAAAGAAACAGGTATTTTTGAATTTATCCAACTAGCTAAGTTCGACCTCCACCTTTTCGACCCTCAAATGCTCCTTTCTGCTATCTTCTTCTGGAATAGAGAGACTCGGGCTTTCGAGTTTCCTTGTGGCTTCATTTGCCCGACGTTACTTGATGTTGCTGCTATAACAGGGTTAAAGCCTATTGGAGATAGGTTTTATCCTGACGCCTTTGAAGAGGAAATTTCGATCAAGGATACTTCAATTTCTTGGGATAAGAAGACCTATTTGGCCTTTATTAACGCGCATATGGGACAACCTGACACGCCTGTCTCACCTTCAGAGCATATTGCCTTTCTTATGTACTGGTTGTCCGCCTGTGTCTTTTGCACCCCTTCGCTTCAAGTCCCAAAATATTATTACAATTTAGCTCAGGCTCTTCATTTGCAAAGGAAAATTTGCTTAAGCAAACTACTTCTGGCCTCTCTTTATACTTGTCTTGATGAAGCTTCCGAAAGTCTTGCTCGAGAATCTGGGCCTCGAAATCTCTCTGGCCCGTTATGGCTACTTCAACTTTGGCTCAACGCGCTATTGGAGAAGAAACTTCATTTGCCCTCAAAACCCATTCCCATATGTGAACTCGAAGGAGCTCGTTTAACAACCCTTACCCCTCGAAAGCGTCTGGTAGACAATTTCGAGAAATATATTAGAGCCATCCTTAGCTTCACTGACTTCACTGAAGACTTAGCCCCTTTCATTCGACCGAATTTGATAGGTCCTACATGGTTGCGTCAAAATAATCAAGTTGGTAGCATAAGTCCAGCTTCAACTGACCTGTGGTTTGGATTCTTGTCTTGGGATGTGATCATGTCGGGTATGAGGCAAAAAGATGTCAGACTTTATCCTTATCAGCCCCAACTTTTTGCTCGACAGTTTGGGCTTTGCCAAATGAAACCTCTTCCCCTTCGACGTAAAGAAGGCATTGATGCGGATATTTGTGTCGAAAAAGGGAATTATGAAGAAGTCCTTAACTTCATCCTTCGCCCTGATAAAGAACTTAGGCTTACACCGACCACCTTTTCTCCTTCCTTCTTAGTCTCAAAATGCTACCTTCGATGGTGGTGTTACTATATTGTAGATAAACTCACCGATTTTGATGGCTTTCTGAAAAAGCTGATTAGTTCTCCTCTTTCTTGTTCGCAGGGGCCTAAACAACCAGGTACTTTCAAGAATCAACTTATCATTTATCAATTCGAACAATTTTTTAAGGTTTGTTATCGACCTGACAATGCGCACCGAACCATTTTTGACGCTTCTGTCTCATTATCGAAAATGGTACAACGGAACATTCGCTCAAAAAAGGTAATAAATCCTCAAGGTAAAACTGATTTCGAAAAATTTTGTCCAAAGCATATACCTCCTCTTCCAAATGCCCTTTTTGGTCTAGTTAAACATGTATCTCATCCTCCTTGGGTGAAAACACTCGACCCGTTTTACCTTGAGCGCAAAGAAGTTCCTGTAAAGAATAAAGTTACCTACGCGAGATGTTCCGTGTACGATTTTCCTCGAAACAAATGGTGGCCATTATGTTGGGTCAATAACATTAACCCTCCTCCTGGTAAATATTTTTCACCTCCTTCTTCTTCGAGTATACCTTAAACTTGTCTCACTTCTTTGCTCGAACCTTGTAGCTGCCATCCCTCAGCGTGTTCCTCGACATGTTGATCCAACTCCTGATTGGGAGAGTGACGATGACGAGGATAAAGAGACATCTAAAAAGGGTCGAAAGAGAAAGACCGCTGCTGACAAGGTTTCTTTACGTTCTAAGGTATACCTTGTTTGGATTGCAGTTTTTCTCGAAACTAATATTTTATCTTACCTTCTCGAAATTCTACTCTACAGAGTATTGGAAACTCGAAGAAACAAAGAATAGGTTCAGACAGTACCAAAACTGTTAAGTATCTTAACTCAAATATTAAGATTATTTTCTTGCTCGTGTTTCATACCTAATCAATTATTTTCCAATTCAGGTCTCGACCACAAAAAAGCAAGACAAGGGGAAAGGTAAGATGGTCTTGCCTCTTCCCAAAAAACCTCAACAATCCTCTGGCGAGAAGTTGCTTAAAGACGCCATGAAGTCCGTTCCTAAGGTATCTCAATTTCGACGTCTTTCCTCCTTTATATTTCTCTTATGCCTTTAACCGTTCTAAAATCCTATTAATAGGATATTGCGATTATCCCACTGGATTCTTCTCAAGGGGTGTCTCAAGAGGTGCAGAAAAGCGTACCCTTTGCCACTGAGGTAACCCAACATGTTCATCTTGTTATACCTTGTGACTCAAATTTCCTCTTGATGTTTAGCCTGACTTCTTCATTTCCTCAGTTGTCTACTCCTCAAGTGGATGTTGCGGCGCTTGCCTCTGCCATGGCTTCGATAGAAGTTCCCCCTCCTGTCGAAGAGGGTAAGATTCCCCAACCCGAACCTTTGACTAATATGGAGACGCGGCAAGACTCCGCTCAAGGTGAACCTTCTTTCGAACTACAACCTCCCTTGGATCCGAACCAGGGTATATTTCTTTCGACTTTAATCTTCGATATGATACCTTGTTAATGGAAGTTTCTTATGTATTTACTTTTGTGCAGGTTCAACTGAGTCCCCTAGACCTTTTACCACTTCTCCTTCAACCCAGGGCGGTGCTACTTCTTCTGTCCAAGGCCTCTCCTTGATTCCCTCTCCAGATTTGGATTTGATGAGTTTCTTTAATGACGAGGACGAAGATATCAATACTATCTTCGAGGTGTTGGACAACTGGACGAGTGGTCCCTCTGGGTCAGAGAAAGACAAATTGAAGGTTGTTGAGCCAGCTTCTGACACACCTTCTTACC